CCTTCCTTCCTTCCTTCCTTCCTTCCTTCCTTCCTTCCTTCCTTCCTTCCTTCCTTCCTCTTCATCATGTACAGGAATGAATGTTTTCCATTCCTATCAAGTGAGACATGTAAAATAGGATTCTGTCGTTAAAACATTGAGATGGGGACAAAATTTTACACTATTCATGGCATGATATACTCTGAAATATATTAACCAACATTCTAATAAGACATCTTTAGGTTCAACATGTCTATCTGCGCAGAAATCCCAGTGCTAATATGTTAATTTTTTTAAAAGTTTCACATCTAGGGAATGAGACTTTTCCAAAACATAACATGACTCAAGGATTTTCACTTACTGCATTGGTTGTGACAGGTGATGATGACTAGATTGACTGACAAAATGAAACTAGAAGAAATCAGCCATTATCAAAGATATGACTATAAGTTAAAAGGCAGGGTGATGGATATGGCATCTCAAATATGAAATGGCTATGAAGATTCTCAGTCACCCAGGTGATGGTTGTCCCAAAGGTGCTTTTTCAAGAGGCAATTGGTTTTTCTTTGAAGACATTTTTCTTGAAGATGATCCAAGAAGCTTCTTCAGCTGCAGAAGCTAAACGTTTTCAAACTCTTCAAGAAAGTCCAGTTGCCTCTTGAAAAAGCACATTTCGGTCAAATATGGAATGGAATTTTAAATGTTTGCACTCATTCATTCCTCACTGTCTGCTTCAGATATGTAAGTAAGTGACAACAACCTTCAAGGGAGGTCAGAGCGAGATACGTGCTCCTCTACGTTCAGAGCAGGGAAGGAGGGTACTATGACTGTGTAATGTAATGTAGTGAGGGAAAGGTAGGAAGCCTGCTCATCTGCTTCACAAAGATTACAAACTATTAACAAAACAATGATCAAAGTGTTAAAGTTTTTTTGTTGTTGTTCAAGAGTAGTGGAATGAGTTAACAGTGTTCTATTGGGGGTAAAAAATCATTTAAGGTGGGTAAATGCTGGCAACCCTATTCAACCCTATTCATTTCATTAAGAACTGGACCGAGAATAATGAGAATCACTTGTGTTTGTTTATTTTCTGTTTTTGACTTGTTATATGACATTTTATAAGATTATGCTTAGCAGTTCCACCACAAAACTGCGTTCGACTAAAGGGCGCTCGACGAAACCGCGTAGCTGACGTCATCACAGCGCGACAACAGCG